AGCAAGGAAAGAAGTAAAGATCGACACATCGACGTGTTTTCATCAATCGATAACAAACGAATCGATATCTCCATTTGATTGATCAACATGAATAAATTTACCTTACTTGTTATTGTGCTCTCGGCTCTGTTTGTTATTAGCGAAACAGCTACAATCAAAGCAGAGATTCATTGGCCATGTACATGGCAATGTATACCATACATTGTGTGTACACACAAGGACCAAATTCGTACTGTCATGAACTCAGTTTCCAATATGCTTGGCCGCAAGAAACGTAGTGCTTGTCCACCTAATCCGAAAGGTTGCAATTGTAACACTATTCCACCACGAAAGGTTCCTACTTTTTAACTATATGAAACAAGAATAATATCCCTTTGCAAAATCATTCGTTTCAAGCTTTATATGTAGTTGTTTTTAGTCATTTTTTATAAAATAAATTTCTGATCCTCATCTCTTTTCTATAGCTTGACGACTATTTATGAATAACATGAAAATGTTTTAAAAAAAAATTGAAAATCTGAGGATGGATGTGGGTGTAGATGTGAGATAAGAAGAAAACTCACACCCACACCCTCAAGATGTATAAAAAGTTTTATTTTCTTTTACTTGATTTCTGTAACCAGTTAAACACTTGTTATGCTGAAGAAAAAATTTCAATCACAAAATCGGTGTTGTGACAGACATAGCTCGGATCAAGTACATCCAAACAACTCCAGAATTGGAAGATATATGCAAAAGATGTCCTCTCTGTAATGAATCCAGCGAATCGAAAAACTAAGGATCGTGCCTCTCCTTTTATTCCGTGTAGAAACAAAATCAAAATATTCATAACTCTTGGAGAAAATGCAAACAACGCAAATCTTTTTAGAATTATAACTAGAGCACTGTGTAGTATCTATAGACAAAGTTTCATTGAAATCTGTGGTGGGCATCCGAGAAGATTTCCTGATTAGTCTTCGGTGCTAAGCCGAGCACGTCAAGTGAATATAATTCTGTGGACAAGTAAAATGATTATAGATAGTTCCTTGTAAACTCATTATACGCTTTCTCTTTCTATTTAAAATAGTTTAAACTCACTTTTGCCTCCCAAAATCTTTTCAAATTATATATTTTGTTTTATTCAATTTCATTTATTAAACTAATAAATTTCATCTTTACAATCACTTTGAACGAATATTCATTTTTTTTATTTTCCAAAAATTAAATCAGATTTCAATGAAACGAACAAACAGATTAACATTTAGCAAATACTTTTTTTATTCAAACTAATCATTTGTATTCTTATTAATTTCAATTTTTTGAATTCGATTATTTCCATGGTCAGCAACATAGAGATTTCCTTGTCGATCAAATGATAAACCAGTAGGATAACTCAACTGATTTGGTAGGTTTCCATTTCCATGTCCACCCGCAACAATAGTTCCTTCTTTCGCTCCTTGTTGCCAACGCATCACGCGGTGATTGGAGGAATCTGCCACATAGATTTGACCAAACTGATCAACAACTATTCCTGCAGGAAAAAATAACTTTGTCAAACTATCTGTACCTCGTCCAGAACCACCCCCAGCGACAACAATTCCTTTTTTTGTATTTTTTAACCATTTCATTACACGATTATTGTCTCTATCGGATACATATAATGATAGGTCATCGTCAACGAAGATGAAAGAAGGAGAACTGACTTGATTGTGTTTTGTTCCCCGCTCATCTTCATCTGTTACGACTGTTTCCTTTTTTTCTCCTATCTTCCGTCGTGTCACTTCATTACGTGTAAGATCAGAAACATAAAGATATCCATTCTTATCCATTGCTAAACCAAAGCAGTCGATATTCTCGATAATTATTTGTACATCTTGATCATTTTGACGAGACCATTGCATGACACGATTGTTTTCATGATCGCAGATGATCAAAGAATTGCTTTCTTTATCAATAATTACATCTGTTGGATTGTTCAATTGATTATTTCGATTTTCTTCTTGATTCCCACCAGCAACTATTCGACCATTTGTTGCATTCAATTTCCATTCAACAATACGGTTATTCCCATCATCAGCAATATAAATGGTTTGATTATCATCAATAAATATACCTCGAGGGCCATTGAGTTGATTTAATTGATTTCCTAAACCATTTCCTCCCGCAATCGTAATTTTTTTCGGCTTTGGCGCTAAATACAAATGAAAAAAGAAACAGATTTTCGAAATGGAAAATAAAAATTTCAATAAAATAAAATTTCAGTTGAAAATGATAGAAAAAGAGATGGCTTTGTATAAAAATTGAATATCACAGTGAGTTAAAGATTTGAATTCTTGAGAAATTCTTGTAATTTAAAGTAAAAATCCAATTGAAAATAGTGAATAACTAATCTTGTTAATTTCGATTTAGAAAATTGTTAGAAATAAAAAAAAAGAAAAAAATGTTTTGTTAATTTTTGTCAATTTTTTCAAGTAATTTTTTGTTATCGCTTTTTGTGGGTTTGTAAATAATAAAATAAATTTATTTTATCGAAATAAAACTTAATGAAGTTAATGGTGTGGTGTGGGTGTGGGCGTGAGATATGGATACGGCTCACATTCACACCTTCTACATATTTCATTCCGGACATCCTGCTTAGTTAATTTAATTCTGTCATTCCGACATCCGTGACGAAAACTTTGAATAATTTTTTTGTTGAAAGCTCCTAAAAGACATCTGCTACAAGAATTCGGAATAGAGAGGTGGTACGAAACGTAGTTTTCCCCTCAGATGATGCACTTCGGCTATATAAAAATCGATGATTTGGAGTTTTCAACATATTCTGGAGTAGATGATGTGAAACGAATCCTCTTTTTAAGAGCTATGGAAAAGACGAATCAATTATTTACTACTTACCGGTTGATGTTGTTGCTGGTGTGGTAGTTGTTGTGGTTGTTGTGGTGGTTGCTGGTATGGTTGTTGTTGCTGGTGTGGTGGTTGCTAGTGTAGTGATTGGTGGTGTGGTTGTTGTAGCTGGTGTCGTTGTTGTTGATGGGGTGGTTATTCTTGTTGTTGTTGCTGGCGGTGTGGTGGTTGCTGATTTAGTTGTTACTGTTGTTGTTCGTGTGGTATTTGATAATGGTGGGCGTGAGTTTGGTGGTAGTATTGATAGTGATCCTACAACAATAATTTAAACGTAGAAGAGAGGCATACGATGACTGTTTACGCAGAAGTATATTCCGATCGATCTACCACATCAAACCAACGATTCAGCGCTTGACACGCTGATTTCTAATATGAGTGATGACCTTTTCCGATTCGATATATATTCGATATATATAATTCAAAGCCGACCGGTAATATGCAGCATTCTAACTGAGAGAGTCACCTCGAAAACAATCTCTTCGCATCGTCGTATATTCCCCGCATATTGAGAAACGTGATGACTCTGTTCAAAAAAATCTTATGACTTCGCTATCAATACAACACAAGTGATTTTCGATAATCAACCAAAACATGCACGTTTTTAAGCAAATTTTATAGGAAAGCACAAACTAAAAACCGTATGTACTCACAAAGCTTTCTAGTAATCTGATGTTTAAAATGTTTTTCACTTTTGAGACTGACCTATTCGAAAGACCTTATATAAACTAGATTACGCGAACGGTCAACGTTAGCGAAAGAGCGTGTTTGTGAGATTGAACGTTTCATATATAGTGCAATTTTTTTAGTTCGCGAAAACAGAAGTGTTTAACTATTTTAAGAGACACTCACTTCATCGAACTTCATTGAACTAAAGTAGGCTTTATATGAGTACTTCAAACGATTCTGATTTTCAGAAAATTAAAAAAAAGTTGCGTGCCATACTACGAAATTCTAAATAGTCAGTAAAATGCCTAAATGTGACGTATGATGCAGACGAAAACATATCAATCTGAGTTAATGGTTTGCTATAGTGGTCGCTCAAATGATAGTGCGTCAAAAATTTCTGTCTGTTACATGCAAAATGATAGTATGCAGCCACCCTTTCATCGATGTTGAAGAGAACAATTACGAAGGATATCCCAAGAAGGCATCGAGTGAAAATCTAGCCATCCTATTGATGCTTAAAATGGCACCACTGCACTGGAAATTTTAATCGCGTCAAGATTATGCTGAAATATTTACCTGCTGATAATATAGTGCTGACATCACTAGTGTTCTGCCATGCAGACGTTGTTGTGGACCCATTAAATATTCTTGACCATTTTAGGGCAAAAGCTATAGCAATGAACACTATCATACTTAATATCACAAGCAAAACTGATAATAATAATCTGTTAATGCCAAAACATTTGCGTTGTTTAGTTTTTTTAATCGAATCTTCACATTCTTCTAATTCAATTTCAATTGAGATCTGTGCTGTCGGGTTATAGAGATCATTTCGTTTAATTGCTACTACTTTAAAAACGGTAAACGGAAGAATCAAAACTTCTTTTTCATCGGAGTTTATAGATAATGTTTGGATGTTAATAGCTGTTGCATTTTGTTTGATTAAATATTGACAGAGACAAGAATATTGTAATGCGTTTTCACCTTTGGGAGTATATCTCATGTTTGGCTGTTGTCCTTCGCCAGCAAACATTTCCGCTACTCCACGATCGAGAGATGTGGATATAAATGAACGATTGAGCATATGCTGATTTAGTTTGTATTGATCTAAATCATTTTGTGTTACTACCATACCACGATAACATAAACCTCGATATTGATATCGAGATACATCTGGATGATGAATTAAAAGTGTAACAATATGAGCAAGACAATTAACAAGACGATATGTTGGTAGAAAAAGTTTCGATTCATCAAAATAGTCTAGTATATACAAAGCCAAGTGTCTGTTTAATACCTTGTGAAAACCACTGGTTAATGTATATGCTTTGATAAAATATGTTAAATAATCTTTCTCTTCTATAGCTCCTTTAAAATATGCTTCAAGAGTTTTGATCTGCTCAGGAGTCACTCTATCTTCCGGATTGCTAGTGTCACTGCTGAGATTCAACAGATAGTCATTTAAATAGTAATGAATAAATTCAGCAATTAATTTTGATATTAACGTATGATTGTCGTAGGTTTTGTACACATCGATAATTTGACGAAAACTGCGTCTCTTGTCGAGAAGATCGTCTCCGACTAGGGACCATTCAATATAATCATAATCATTGTTGGAAAATAATTTTCGTTGTTCGAGAAATAATTGTTTTGTGCTATCTGTATGAGCTTCTTCGTAGGGTGTTAAATTATGCCTTAAATTTCGTATTGAACGTAGAGCGCCATAGTCTAATAGAATCTCTACCACATCTCGATGTCCATAATAACATGCCACATGCAAGCATGTTGAACCAGTCGAAGTTTGAATTTGATTTATAATGTTTTTATTACCAATAAATGGTATTATTTTTCGAATTTTTTCGATTTCATTTTTCTTACATAAATCATATAATAAATTACCGATGTTTGGTTCATCACTGCTAGGAACTGATGACCATGTTGTTATCATTATGAAGACGACGAATAGAACTTTGGAGCTAATCTGAATATATTTCCCACATGGTCTGTATAGTAATTCGTCCAGAAATCATGTCAAACATCGTATCATCTTCGCTGCAGCCATCTTTAAATTCAAGTCTACCTAAAACAGACTATAAATAGTTAGAGATATCGAAAAGCGAAATGTTCTTTAAAAACATGGGATGAGTTGAGATATTTGCTTCAAATAGCCTGATTCTACAGATCCCATAGAAGAAATATATGATTAGTTAAACGTAGGAGCTGAACAAATTCAATTCGATAGGAACTGGTTGATAACAATCATCGTTTGGATATACCTTCCGGTGAGAGAACTTCACTAGATAATGACAACGATATAACATACTTGATCGTTTATATAACCCGAACTCTTGTAGTAAACATTTTTTTTCGTATATCTGGCAGTGAGTCTACTACATTTCAAACAGACAGTTGAATTTCTGACTTCGTCAAACATTAGACTTTCGTCGGATGACAGAAAACCACTTCTTAGAAGAAAAATCTTTCTCTTGGACGAAACAATCGAAAAACTAATGATATATTCGGGTTTCGCAATTCTGAAAGTCTTTTGTCAACTACATCTGCTAAAGGCATCTCGGATGATATTTTTCACTTATTACCTCTGATCATCATCGAATAGGGTTTATTAGATTCAATTTTAAATTGTATAACGACATATGTATTGATAAAGTGAAAATACACCGTATGATCAATTTCCATTTTGTTGTTGAATATCCGATGTTTTCGATTTGCCATTCCTGACTACTCAGCTTTGTAAATTACATTCCAAAGTCAAGAGAGAGTCTGATCTTCCTGAAGATCGATGACTATGAATGAAGTACCATACTCTAACACAATAATACTTTACTCTCAATATCTTAAGTATCAGCATTTCGAGAAAGGAATTCCAACATAATATTAGAAGGGTATGAAAAGATATCATCCTTTCTTCCGCTAGTTATCTAACTAAACGGCGCGCCTGATAGTCTGATAAATACGATACGTACACTTGCATCAATAACCATCACGCTCATAACTTTATACACTACAAATCAAAATTTATTTAGAAAGCCTTTCTTTTATCCTACCAACTCAAGAACTAATATTAGATTCGGATTTCTCGATCTGAGAAACCTTGGATTGAGTTTCATTTCAGGTAAAATAAACTGAATTTTATGTGATATAACTTTGCTGCAATCTAATTGGTTTAGACAGACAGACAAACTTTATGTATTTTTAAGCACCATCTAAGCTCCATATAATTCTTTCTTTCGAAAAAAGAGAATAAAGAAGGATTACATTATCATAAGATAATATTCATTGATAATAGTTATCCACAGAATATAATAAAGAAAGCAATGAGAAAATTACAATTAAACAAAAATAACAACATATAAACGGTTCATAATAATACACAAAACATCTATATTTTACTACCTTATATCATAATGAATTATCCATTCATTTAGCTAGAAAAATTGAAATGATATCAGATTTTCCTCAGAAGAGAATTATGTTCGTTATTTAGTACCACCTACTGAGAAAAGAAAAAGGTTACCAATCTAGTTATCTATCAATATGACTGTCAAAATTGCAAAAAATCTTATATAGGACAAACCTCAAGAAATGTCGAAGAAAGAAAACGTTAAAAGGAATAGGAACATTCAAAATTTCAGAACATTGTATAAAATATAAACACAAAGATGATTGAAAACATAAAATGTTAGCTTCCGAAATCAGTGATATCAAAAAAGTAATAAAAGAAAGGTTCTTAATAGATAATGTACAAGAGAAACCTAATCGCATTATATATTCGACAAAAAAAGCTATGAATTAAATGTTTTCAAATGACTTTAGGGTGATGCTTGAGAGCAACTAAAGTTTAACAACTTTATTAGATAATAAAACGTTGTATTAATACAATTAGCCGTTCTTTTTCTTTCTTTCTCGTTTTTTCTCTCATCTAATTACAAACAAAATTTGTCATACTATATATACATATACAGTTGTTCTTTTTCATATAACTTCATTTTATTTTCATTGACAAAGATAACCCTATAGTTGTCGAAACATCACAATAATAAAATATGATCTATTCGGTATTCTTTTCTTGATTATTTATGTAGAGAGTTGAGTGTAGTATATATAATATTTTATCGTAATCTAGTTCCTAATTTTTATCAATAAAGTCTGAAGAAGACGGCATTGCCAATTGAAACGTGACAATAATCGAATATTTTCTAGCAAGAGTTTCACAGAGAATTAACAAACAATGCGTCAGTAAATGGATGAAAAAGTAATAAGAAAAATGATTATGTCTATAAAAAATTTGCTATAGAAAGAAGTGAAAATATACATACTCATAAAATTCTATTGTCTTATATTCATCTGAACAAGCTTTATCAACGATTTCTTCCCGAAAACATCTTTAAAATCTCCTTATCGTGGAAGAAATAATAGTTCTAATAGACTGTGGTAGAGTGGAGGTGTTGACATTTTTTAGCATAAAAATATTTATGGCTTACCCTTGGTATATATCTATATGGATATGTGTGTGTGTGTAAGAGGTAGAGAAATAAGAAATGATGACAACATCTTTAATATTTGTGCTGAAAACTTTTTCTTTTCTTCGTTATTCGCATCAGTGTTTTTATATTTAAATACGTCTGTGTATACGTCTCGTCTCTGCTGAGTCTACTATCAATTGTGGTTATTTCTCTTTCTGCTCTGTACTATTGTATCCTCTCTATTTTACTTCTGTACGGTGTTCTGCTTACGTTATCAATTTATTATAAATCCGTTCCTTATATGTTTTTCTTTTCTCTTCGTTCTCTACTGGTAATTTTTGTATAACATAAGTCGATGTTTTGTTTGAGATGTCGAGTGGAACAAGGCGTAATTATGAGAAAAAAGATGTAATGATAGTGCGATATATACTATGCCTGTCGTTTATAAGAAAATTCAGATGATACAGACGATAAATTTTATACTGCGATTGTCAGTCAAAGATAATATTTTGCTCATAGTGAATGGTACGGTGTGGGTGTGAGTGAGAGAGAAATAATCACGTCCGCATCCACAACCTTTTGCTCTGCTGCGACAGCTTTTCACTTCATTCCACAGCATCATCTTTTTCATATAGTATCTGGCATAATGTCTGCTAACTCAACGTGCATTTATTATATTTATTTTTGAGAGATTTACAAATCGAATATTTAATTTAATAAGATTGCTTTAAAGAATTATAATCATGATAATAAATTAAAAACAAACAAAAGTTTATTGAATATAAATTATTATGGAAAGTTTTATATTTACAAAACCTACATTTGACAAATGCCTTTTAGATAATATTCATTGTATCTGAACTCTATTATCGAAATTTTAAAATAAAAAAAAAATTATTTTAACTTTTCTGAAACACGTTTAATACTCTGTTCAAGTTGAATAACATTCGGGTGTGTTGAAGGTAACAAATCATGATAAATATCTGATGCTCGTCCAAGATAAACAAGTGCTTGTTGATATTCATTCTTATCTTCATAAACACTACTAATATTACTCAATGTTATAGCAATATCAGGATGTTGAGATGGATGACATTTTTCATAGATTTTCAATGAAAGATCATAATATTGTAATGCTTGATTATGATGACCAAGACATAAATGAATATTACCAATACTTCCATAGATTGAAGCTAAATCTGAATGATCAGCTGGAAGATGTTTTTGAAAGATAACCAATGCTTTTTCTACACATTCTAATGCTTTCGAATATTTCTTTTCATTTCAATACACATTACTTATATTATTAAGACATATAGCAACATGAGGATGATCTTCACCAAAAACTTCTTTCCAAATAGTCAATACATTCTCATATGATTCTAATGCAAGATTATAATTACCTTTGCTTTGATAAATAATAGCAATACTATTATGAATAAGAGCCTTTATTTGGATCATTTGATTTTAATATTCGCAAGAATATTTCAAGTGCTTTATTGTACCATATTAAACTTGATTCATAATCACCTTTATCATCAGCAACAAGACCTAATGCATGATAACAAAGTGCTTTATTTGAATCATCATATGAAAATGTGCTAAGAGAACGACGATAATATTTTTCGGCATCATCTAATTTACCCATCTTTCGTAATAGATGACTAAAGACTAGAATATTTGTTTCGCCGCTATCGAATTCATTTTTCATATGTTGAAAAAGTGTTTCTAATTTATGTTCATGTTCAGAACATAATACCATTCGAATAGTCCATATTCCCTCTTCATCACATTCAATACTATCAAGTCGAAAAATAGATCCAACCATAAAAAGAA